TTTCCATGAGTATTTCTACAGTCACACACTTCAGCAAATTATCCACCACCCTTGACATTTTCTTCACTTTCTTACAACAAAAGTTTTTATCTGTGTACAAGGCCACACCACCTCCCATCTTATTCTCTCTGTTTGTGCATACCAAGTCATAGCCATCAAGGTCAAAATCCATTCCCCTTACATTATTCATCCAAGTTTCAGAAATAGCAATTATATTAAAAGAATGTGTAAGACTACTAAGATAATGTTTTATACTCTGAAAGTTTGCGTATAAACTTCTGCTATTAAAGTGAATTAATGATAATTTGTTTTCAGTCTTAACATTGCTGTTAAACTGCTCATCCGTGTAATACTTGCAGTTATTTTCAGAGTTCTTAAAAAAGTTTTTTTCAGGGTCAAAGTCATCGTCCGATTCATGATAATATTGTTCAGTGTCTCGAGTTGTGTTCAGTTCCAGATCCAATCCCTCAAAAACTATTAACCTCTGTAGCAAATCACTTGCCTTATTCCGTACGTGGGTCATACTTGTTGTTGGTTGTTGTTGGATACATCATGTATCCAAATCCTCGGCTCAAAAAACTAGCTAATATTTGCTAACCACCTCCTGCAAAGCTTGTTGTCCTAATAGCAACTGGCGGCCAACATATGCGGGATTTGCGTGTGCGCTGTCCTCCCTTATGCTGCACCCAACCCCCCTGGCAAGCACGGCGCATACCGCATCCTATCTGAAAGCCCTTTAAGAGATAAGCGATGTGTTCAGAAAGAGCACAACAGCAAGTGTCTTGCTTTTCTCCTCAGATGCAAAAGCACAGCTGTTGGCTTTGCTAGTGACAGAAAACTAGCTCAAAGGGAGCAGAGATATATTGCTGTGCAACTATCTAATTAGCTTTAGCAAAGTAACTTGAACTGGAAAAGGGGATTAAAAGTTGGCAACAAAAATGGAAGTCAGTGGTGTCTGGTTATGCTTTGATGAAGAGGATGAGCAGCTAATTTCATCCCAAGGAAGCCATAGAGTTAATGTTACTCAGTGGGAAATGTATATTTTATGTTCCTTCATATGCTGAGATTTGCTTGACTGTTTAAACTGTCTTCTGTCTTTTCAAAAACATTTCAGCAAATATAAGTAAGACATGTTTGTACCAAAGTTACTCCCTGAAATCAATTCTATATGGATGCAACGCCTTATTTTTCATGAGCCAACTGTTTTAAACACTGAAGGTCCTGGTTCAGAACTATAAAGTTAGTAAGCTTCTACAACTCCAAATCAGAAAAAGTTGGGATGGTATGTAAAATCAAAGATGAAACTGAAAATGGTGATGTGTAAATCATCTGTATTCTGTATCACATTGAAAACAACACAGCAGCACATTATTTGATGTGATACCTCATCAATTTTATTCTTTGTTCAGAATAAACTCTCATTTCAATTCTGATGCTGCAACAGATTCAAAAAAAGTTGGATGGCTGCATTTCAGGATTAGTAATGAGGTAAAACAATAAAATGATGAGTCCACATTTGAAACAGGTGATGTCAACAGGTGGCTGCATCATGATTTGGTACAACAATGACATCCAGGAGATGTAACTGCGTATTGTAGTTATTGGGACTACAAAAGCACTCTAGTATACTCGACTTGAGTGGCATTACAAGGTGGGGGTTATTCCCTCATAAATGGTCTTTGGCCAAGAACACACACACACAGCCCCGTTTGTCTGTCATCATGTTCCTCATGGAATTAACAGTAACACGCTGCCGCTGCGTTCAGGCCTGTCTTGTGTGAATCTCGGCTTTCTCCCTCCACAGTTCCTTTGTGTTCTCTGTGTGTTGCTGCTTCTCCAGGCAGTTGCCCTCGCCACTGCTCTCATCTTTGAAAAGAAGGTAAACATCTTTGACACTGTGCATTGTCCTCTGTATTAGCCCTAACAGTGTTAAAGCTACAGCCTGGTCACTACAACTTCACTGTACTTTCTGGCTGAGATCATCTTTGTCAGTGCTAATACCAGTCACCATTTCTCTCCTGTATGTCTGCCTCTCTCTGTTTTATCTAGACATCTGCCTTGTTTCAGAGCAGTATACGAGAGGGTATTAAACACTACTACGATGATCTGGACTTCAAAAACATCTTGGACTACGTGCAACAAAAGGTTGTAAGAAATTCAAATTAGAAACATATGGGCAGATAGGAAATGTATTTGTGTATATTCAAATTCACAGAGGATAGTGTTAATCTATAAATTATGTCTAGAGGTATTATTGTAACATGGTGCCATGATCTGATAAGTAGATGTGGGTTGTACCAACTAGACATTACCTACATGTGAATGCTCTCATGAGGATTCATTGTACATTTTTCAGAGCAAATCAGCTCCAGGATATCCACGGGCAGTGTTTTTTAGAGCAGCAACAAGATAAAGTGGTGTGTGTTTCTCTGTATGGGTGGACTGAGTAGAGCTGCAGAAACAATGCAGGAAAGAAAGTCAAAGTATGCCAGCTTGAAAAGTCAGCAGGATGCATGGTGAGGGAGCTCTGGATCTGGCAACTTTGAGGTGAGACAGAGGTGTGGATTGTACAGCAGAGGCTGTAACCCCAGGGGTGTTTTATTTAAAAGATTTAAGAGAACTTGATGTTTCAGACTTGAATTTGACATGAACTTCTGTTTTGATAGCATGCTTGGATCCTCTAAGTATCATCTTATTGTTTTATTTTCCAGTTTTCATGCTGTGGAGGGGATGAGTATAAGGACTGGGGAGTCAACCAGTACCATTTCTGCAATGGAACTGGTCCCCTAGCCTGTGGGGTTCCATACACCTGTTGTGTCCGCCAGAAGGTGAGTGCTCTATATACATACAGGACAAAGCCCCCAAAAACATCTGCACCAACTGTTTATAGTACTTCCTAGAAATACTAAATGCTTTCTCACCTGTATCTCAGTTCAGTTGATCTGGGTCAAGGATGAAAGTTGCCTTTTAGTTCAGGTCTAGTCTGGGTTGCGTTTATACTGACTTGCATATAAAACAAGAGGAGTAGACAAAGTCATATGGCCACTGTCATTCTGCATCATTAGGACTACGTGAACGCAAATTTCAGTGATTGACTTACTGAACCACGTTTTTGTCTTTTCTGTTGCTGCAAAGGACTCGTCTAGATCTAATTGATTATAGGCATTATTAACTGAGACTGTAACAGGACCACAGGTATCATAGATAGTGAAACAGAACAAAAAATATCATTATAACATCATTAACATTATAATTTTATTTCCCATGAGTTGTTCTGTAGAAGTCAGAACCTCCAGCTCAGCCCATTGCAAAAGCAAGCACCTCAGGGCAGTGGGTCACCCTATCTTTGTACAGAGTACTAGTATTTTCCTACACTGAAAAGATCACCCATGAAGGCACTTCATTCCAGATTGTTACACACAGAGGTAATCTGGGGCACGTCTTAATTTACTTGTAACTAAGACATTACAGAACTTTACTATGTTTTCTTCTTTGTGCAGACACCAAGCATTTTATAGTGTTTGCTTTACTGTAGGGGCAGATCAGAGGGCATTTTATCATTTTTCCACTACTGTGGCATTAATTTGTCCCCGGGGCTATCAGGTGGGCTACATTCTGCTATCTCTGTTGTTGTCATTCACAAGAATTACTCTCCATCAAAGTTACAGCCTACTTCATGTGTTCTGGGTGGGGGCTAACCTTATTGATGGCTGTAACATCAGAGAAATAACCAGTCAGCTGTTTGATTAGCCTGAACATTTGTGCTGATTGTTGACTGACAGGTCATTCCTGTTGCCAGCTTAGGTTTCATTTTGAGATCAAGTTACCCATCTGTTATTTTTCAGTGCATATAACTCACCGTTGTTTTTATATTCATTCTGATACGTCACCTTTTTTACATTCATTCAGCTCAGGTGCTCTGTAAAAGCACTAAGGCACCAGACTGAAGCCTTTCAGTGGTAGGGAAAATCCTGCATTCAAGTTCTACTTTAAGAACACATTTCAGAGTAACAAATTCACCCGGTTGATTAGCAAGTGTCGATAGAATGTTATCCACATAGAGTAGCAGTGATGTTAAATGAGCCTGCTGCAGACAGCTGTCCTGTCTGATAATCCCAGACCCTGAGGACAGATGATTCAGATACACAAGCTATCTGCTGAGTTAGTGAATGTCTGCTGCTTTATCAAAGCAAGAAGGGACACTCATTATCTGCACTACAGAGATGTAATTGACGGTGTGAGAGAAGTGCCTCATCCAACTAACAGGAGACCTGTTGCGGTTCAGTGGCATATAGCCTTTGGAAGATTTATTTCTTTAAATGAGAGCGTGGTCCCTTGTGGCCCCCTCCTGTCTCTATATGCCCCGTTTCATTTCTGTCCCTCGGCTCAAAGTACTGATACTGTTTCTGGAAGCAGCGGAGCTGTGCTGGAGAAATTAATGGCAGAATTGCCCAATCCTCACTGACACGCCCACTCGCACACCAGAGTTGATCAGAGAGGCTTAACACTGGCAAAGTTTCCTGCTGTTATCAGTTCTTCTACCTGTCAGGGCTTAGGTTCACGCTCTGGTTGGCAGGGGACAGGTACACCCCTTTGTGAGGAGCATTACTCTCATATAGTCTGTCCCTGTGGTGTTGTATCGAGTCATCTTGGCTCAGTTTAAAGCTAGTCTTCAACTCTAAGTCTTGACTCTTTGGACAGGTGGGAGAGGTCATCAACACTCTGTGTGGTTACAAGACTCTGGATCAAGAGGTAAGAGGAACTCTTGGTTCCGTTTTATCCACTGGTTTTTGTATCTGTGACTCAACACAGCACCGGTGCTTCATACAATGCAGGTTGTGATGGCACTTAAGGAGCTACTTAGAAGGCATTGATTTGTTGCCATGTTCAACCCGCTGACTGAATAATGTCTAGTGCAGGGTGGCCAATCCCGGTCCTCAAGGGCCACTGCCCTGCTTGTTTTTCAACTACCCCTGCACTGCCCACTGCTGATTGCCTGGATCAGGTGTGTTCAGTCAGAAGCTGGAAGATACCGATTCACTTTGTCTTTCCTCAGTCCACCTTAAGTGCCATTTTCCAGCCATTGCAAAATTATAAAAAATGTGAGAAAACAAAATCCAAACAGTCATGTAATATTTATCAATACAAACTAGCTTCAAATGATTATCTTATTTGTATAAAAAGTCATTGTTGCTTAACACAAAAACACCTTGTTACAATGTAAGAAAAGGAATTCATTTGCGGTGTTGGTTGTTTTCCAAGACAGTTTTTTATGGGGAAACTTTTCCAGAGGTACTATCAGTCCAAGGAGAAGAGTCACCATCTCTTATAAAGCAGAATATAAACCCCACATTTGTGCAGTTACTCAGTCACTCACACAACCTCCTGTCAGGCTCTCTCAACTAGTCGTATGGTTTTCTCTGGCAGCTCCTCTGTGCTGCTGGTAAGTGTTGGCAGCTTGACAGCTGATTTCGTCCTGGTGTGTTTATGCAGGAAAGACATCAGGAGGCCCAGTTTAAAGCTGTTTTGTAGGACTTTAAAATTTCCCCTTGTCTTCCTCTGGCCTGTGTATCAGCGTCAAACCCTGCACGAGGTGATCCATGTGCGAGGATGCATCCATGCGGTCAACCTCTGGATGAGCGACAACATTGGAATAACCGTTGCACTCTGCTGTGCCATTGGGCTGCCACAGGTAATTTAAAACTCATTGCACCAACTCACTGAAAGTGAAGTGTGTTTGAAGCCCTCTTTCCATCAAATGGACCTTTCCAGTTTAGCCTCGATATTTTCATAATTATAGTCCCCCCCACTTCCTTTGAAAGTCTCTTTAAAGCTATATCACAGTTTAATTTTATTCCTGCTAATACTGCCTGGCAAATAATTCATGTTTTCTCTGGTGCATAAGAAACTGATTTGGCACTCCCACATTGTTAGAACAAATTAAATTGACTGTGATATAATTTTAAGTTTTCAAAAACTTATTTCACTGACTCAGTTTTAAAAACTTTATACAATTTGGTAAATCCGATTTTTGCCGCCTACACATTACAATATCCACAAGTCATGCCATGTGTAAATTTAGACTTGTCGTAACCGGAGAGGAATAATTACAGTAATTACCTTTCTGAACAGCTGCATGAATAGCATTGGTTCACCCCAGCACCACTGTTGCACAATACATTGTAGCTCACACAGCAGTGTCCTCTTAAAGCCACCTACTCTTGCAGTTAACGGCGCCCTCACACCATTGTTTTCTGGGAGAAGGAAAAGTTTTTCACTTTTGCCAGTTCTAACTTAAACTTGCTTAAAAGACATGAATGACTTGCCAGATTTTGTGTATGATCCTGTAAATAAGTGTTTGTATACACAAAGATGTGTGACTGTTAGGGATGTGGGATTAATGTGAACCATGTAAAAGCATCAATCAAAATGTGATCAGGTCATTCAGCAGTGCAGCTTCAGACTCATCATTCCACTGGCTGTTAAAGGAGGTCCAGAGGTTAGGGCAGTGTCACTGGCAGTAGTACAGCAGAACCTTACCTAAAAAGGAAACTACTCCTATTGACATTATAAAAAAAAGTAATACACATACAAAATTAACAATTAGAAATACCATAATTTCCGGACTATAAGCCGCACCCACTAAATGTAAGACGAGAAAACATGTTGTACATAGCCGCAGGTACCATGTTCTAACATGAGATATATCGACAGCCGGATTGATTGTGTGTAACTTTGTTGTGTGTTGTCCATGATGAGGGTGTGTGCATGTAGCGACAAAAGTAGCGGCTTATAGTCCGGAAAGTACGGTATGTTACAAATGTAAGTGGTGCTATTATTAGTGTCCCAGACGTTTTAAAAGTGGACATCTACTGGTGCCAAATCTGAGGCAGTACTTGTTTACCTAAATGTTGATTAAATATGCAGCTGACACTGAAATAACAGCAGTGCAGTACCAAAAGCTGTAGTAACTACAGTACAACCTTGGATTGCGAGTAACCCGGTCTGTGAGTGTTTTGCAAGACGAGCAAAAATTTTAATTTGATAAACGAGCGAGGTCTCGCAATACACGTAGTACGTACGGTTTGTCTGCTGAATATCACATCACAACTGAGCCGATGGTTTTCGGGCCTCACTCGTATAGTCAGTATCTGTACGGCAAAAATGGCCCCTCACGCCAGCCACGATTCTTTTAAAAGATAAAGTGCAGGTTAATTTGTTATATTTTTACTTTATACTGTATTAGTGTAATCATTTTTATATGAATAAGTGGTTGTGGAACGAATCATCTGAGTTTCCATTATTTCTTATGGGGAAATTCGCTTTGATATACGCGTGCTTTGGATTACGAGCATGTTGCTGGAACAAATTATACTTGCAGTCCAAGGTTTTACTGTACTAAATTGGAGACCTTAAAATTCCAGAAGCTACTAAATTCTGAAGACTTGATTAAACATTATTCCATTTTCAAGCTTGAATTTTTGATATAAGTGAAAGATTAATTGGGAAAATGTGACACGATCAGCTAAGGAGAAGATGTACTGTATCACTGTTGGAGTCACTGTTGGAGTCACTGGGACGACAGTAACACTCAGCCCACTGGCAGTTGTACAGAAAGCACAGATACCCAACAACAGACAAGGTAACTCGCTTGCTCAGGGCCTCAGCATCATTAAACCTATGGAATCACCGGCGTTACCTCATAATGGAAGAATCCTGTAGGTTTATGTTATGGACACCGGCTTTTAGTATTTCAGCTTTGTTGCTCACAAATCATGTTTTATTTGTCAGGTTGACATGGCAGACAGCTTTGTATACTCCAGTACCCATGAGCCGTTGAGCTTGTTGCTGTGGAGAAGAAGCCAGTAGATGGGAATCACAGCTGGATTACATTTGAAATGCTTCATTGTTGCACTTGTAAATTAAACACGGCAGAAGTAATTGATTAAAGCTGCAGATTGTTTCCAGGTTTTTCAACAGTGTGACCTTTAGCTTTCACACGGCATTATGGCAGAAGGGTCCGGGTACAAACTTAACGGCTGACTGGGGCATTTCTGTGTGGAGTTTGCATTTTCTCCGGGTACTTGTGCTTCCTCCTACAGTCCAAATAAATGCAGGTGAGGTTGACTGGTGATGCTAAATTGTCCATAGGTGTCAACATTTTAGGTGAAAGTGAAACGCACACTGGGCGTAGTGAAGAACCAGGCACTTCTGAAGTTTTTTGTACTGATGACTTAACTGGAACAACTGCAGTGACGTGCAAGCAGTGTTCAGAACTTTAATTATCATTCATCAAACAGAAATGAATGGAATTTTTACTGCACAACCAGAGGTGCCTGAATAACCCCTCCTGTTTCAAAACTATAGCACTACTTTCTGTCAGTGTAGTTCATTTTACCTCATGTGACCAAATGCGTAAAAAGGAAAGCACTTGGGTTGGTATCAGCATCTGTTGTTTTTGTGGTACGGTTTTCCTGCACCTGCTTGTTGTCCTGATGGCTGAAATTATTAATTATTGAATCAAGTCAGTGAAAGATTAAATGTGATGTGATTAAAATGTTCAGTCACTTAGAAATTTTTGACATTTCTTCGACTGAATGAATCAATGCAACGAGTAATAGATGAATCAGCCATGACAACAGATACTGAATCTGCCTGTCTCCCTGCAGCTCCTGGGCATCATCCTGAGCTGCGTGTTCTGGAACCTGCTGGTGGACATGAGCAAGTCGACTGACATGGTTGACTTCAAGCTGAAGAAGGCTGAGTTTAAGTATAGCGAGCTCGACCGTGCTGGCTGGTGTATGGGCCTGCCGAGGGACGGCGGCTACCTGCCCGTCCCTGCTTCCGAGCCTGAACTTGAGCCCATTGACATTCACCTGGAGAAGCTCAAGAAGCAGCCGCCTCGCACGCACTCTCAGCTCCGAGAACTGCAGCAGTCCAGGTCGGCCACGGGGCTGGATGAGGTGGATGTTGGCCGCAAGCAGAAGAGGGAACACTGAGTGGTCTTTTTGTGCTTTCTTGCCTTTTGGGTTTTTCCCTGTTTTCTGTCATTGTATTCACTGCATTTGTTGGAGTTGTTGCACTACTTTATGGTTGAACCTGACACTAGATCAAGTGAAATGTTGTCACCTAAAGGGATCAAAAGTACTTTGGCACTGTGTTGCTGAATTTGTTTACAACAAAAGTTGACAGGACAACATGCAACATTGGCTTTTTAAGACTATTTTTGTCTTGTTTGTGTTGCTGTTCAAAGGTTATGTTGTATTTTATTTAATTTATTTGCATTTGAAATCGAGCTCTGTCTCATGTGCTAAAGCTTACCTCAGGCTGTTTTGAAAATAGCCCAGTAGTCAGAGGACAGTAGTGTAAAATAATGGTAGCTTGAAAAGACATTTTTCAACGTCGGAGAAATAGGAATAGCCAAGTATGTCTTGCGTGTAGCGTCTGTGACGGATGTTTATAATTTGTGTTTCTTTTTATTATGATTTTTGTGCAATCAGTGAACATTGTAAGACTGATAGTTGTGGAATAACATGGGATGCATGTTTTGTACTGTAAATTAAGTAAGAAAAAAACAATATCAGTTTACATGTTAGGTTCTCATCGGGGGGGGGGTTCAGTCTATTCTGTTTTTAAACTAAACTTTTTATTATTTCCATCTTTTAAAGGAACAACTAAAGGGATCATCCAGATTACAAATCCAGTGGAAAACTGAGTTATTTGTATCTGACTTATGCACCGTTTCAAGCTTCCCCCTAGTTCCTGCCTTGCATCAGCACTACTGTTCTTGTCAATAAAGATGAATTTGTCTACTGATTCTTGTGTTGAGTTGCTACTTTGTCTGCAAACATAGTGAGGAGACAAATTTTCAACTGCAAAAGGCGTGTTGTCTTGTTTTTTTTGTTTTTTTTAACTGTTTAGCTTGAATTCACCGCAATAAACCAGTGCCAGAAGTGAAGTGACTGCTGTTAAAGTTTAAAAAGTAACTGCAAGTAAGCTGCTGTAAAATACCAGGTAGGACCACTGGGGTCCAACCACCCCACACAAGTTGAAAGTTTCGCTGGCTGGCAATCAGGAGGCCAAGGGCATTGCTGGATCAAGTGTAAGCAGCACTTGTTTGCTTGGTCTGGCTGTCAGGAACTGGTCTGCCTGGTTCTAAACCAGCTGAAAATCCAGGAACAAAATGTAGTGCACAACCTAGAAAAACTATGGTTTTTCTTTTTTACACTTTGGTTTTTCTACCGCTTATACAGACAAGGTACACTGTGTTAACTGGCCTGTTTCAGAGGTGGTAGAGGCTTTTAGGCAGAGCCAGGCCAGATTCCCCCCTTGTTTCAAACGTTTGTGCTAAGATAACTTGGTTATTGTACAAATGTGAGAGTGGTATCAATGTTTTCATCTAGCTCTCAAGAAGAAGGCAAATTAGTAAATTAGAATTATTTCCCAAATTGTCAGGCCCTTCCTCTACATCTGTCTGGGTCTTTACTAAAACTGTTGCACCTAATTGAATGATGAATAGTCCAGTACTGTCCCCTCAAAACTTAGAAAGGCCCAAGAAAGTATGTGTATTTGTGGACAGTGAAAAATACTGAGGTATGTAGACCATAGCTGTGGGAGCATGTTTTAAGTGAGGGGTGCTGTAGTGAGTTTGGGGGGGGTTAGGGGGTTACACCACCCTAAACACACATACAGTATGTAAAAGATCTGTATAAATGGCAGTGGTGGAAAGTAATTAAGTGCATTTACTCAAATACTGTACAATTTTGAGGTATCAGTACTTGAGTTTTTTCATTTTTTGTTACTTCATACTTTGACTTTTTACTCCACTACATTTATTTTATAACTTTAGTTACTAGTAACTTTTCAGAACCAGATTAACACAAAAATACAGTATAATTACAAGACCCCATTGATCCGTGGTGGAAAATTCACAGGCTACCCAGCAGGTTCAAATTAAATCCATATAACCCAGTTAGAACTAGCTCCTCCTTTACCAGCTGCACCATTAAATGTGATGAACACAATAATGCATCAGTAATTATAACAATAATATGATATACAGGAATGTGAAATGTGCCATTCTGCATAATGAATACTTTTAGTACTTTAAGTATGTTTTGATGCTAATACTTTAGTACTTTTACATAAGTAACATTTTGAATACAAGACTTTTACTTTTACTTAAGTAAAGAGTCTGAGTACTTCTTCCACCACTGATAAATGATTTATACCTACTGAAAAACTGGTTCTGTATGTTTTCTTATGTCATTATAAAAATACGCTCTATACTTTGATGAACATACAGTACCGTAGTTCTCTATGAAAGGAATAATAATCATGTAGTGAAACACACACACACACACACAGATAGAACAGCAGCTGTGCACTGGCTCATAGCAAAGCCAGACTTGCACAGTAGACATTGTATTGATGTTACAATAGCAACCACCAACACTATTATTTACTCGCACAGGAGGTTATGATCTGACAGCCAACATACACAAAGTATACAAACATAGGCCTACAGCAGCGGCTATGCACTGGCTGATATGAAAGCCACATTTACAGAATATCTTGATAATAATATCAACCATTGCCATTGTATGTATCACAGGTAAAGCAAGTGTCATGAAATGAAAAGTTAAGCATTTCCAACAGTGTGATGTTGCCGTTCCTTTTCACAACATTTAAGATGTTTAGGTACTGAGGACACCAAGTGATTAAATGTGTCAGGTGGAATTTTGTCCCTTCTTCCTGCAAACAAGTCTTAAGGTGCACAGCAGTCCTGGGTTGTGCACACATTCTCTACTGGGGACAGGTCAGGCCTGCAGGCAGGCCAGTCCGGCTCTTGACACCCTTTTCCTCCACAGCCAGGCCTTGGTAACATGCAGTATGAGGTTTTGCATGGTCTTGTTGAAATATGCATGTGTGTCAGTATATCATACTACAGTGCCAAATACAAACAGCAGAAACATGCAGAGACTACAGCCATCAAAATGTTCTGTGTGGAACATCTTCAAGACAATAAACAAAAATGAGGTGCAGTGTAAACTCTGCCAGATTAATTTAGCATATTGTAAATCAACAACAGCTGTGCTCAGCCATATGAAGGCGAGGCATCCAGCAGAAAGTGGGGTGCGCTCTGCATATCAGCAGTCAGTGGATAGAGCTTGAAGAGGGAAGTTAGATGATTGACGCGCAGAGCAAACAACAGCCCTCATCACAAAGATCATAGCAAAGGAAATGCTACCCGTTAGCTTCGTCAAGGCTGAGGCTTCTCTAATTTTAATGGCAATTGTTCAGCTGGAGTATATGTTCCTATGAAGAAAAACTATGATGATCTTTGAATAACTGTCTAATAGTTCCCAGTGAATATCAAATAATATTTTAGCCTGAAGTGCTCATCCCTAATATAGACATTGTTATGGATCTTTTTACACAAATTGTTGATGTGGCTGGGTATGCACGAGTGCAACTAAAGTGTTTGACTGCAGTGTTTTACCAGAAGGTGAGTAAACTCATTTAGCTTTTGGTTTAGGTCTGCTCGTCATGGTTTTGGATTGGCCAATACTGTGCCTCTTATTTATAGCTCACAATTTATAATTAGGCTTAACAATTAGCAAGTACAAAACATATAGATATACTGTATATATAAACATCTCGCAAAGTCAAATGTTACACTGTGTACACAGTTTAATTTTGCTAATGCAAGCTCTAAATTTAGATTTTTAAATATGACCTAAAATAAATGTAAAAATCATTTTAATTCTTTCATATAAAGATTTAAAACTAATTGTTTACAATTGTAAGAAACATTTTAAAATAAAGTTTTAAAAAGATAAAAGAAAAAAGTAACGGTTCAGGTCACCAGTCCAAATGTCCGGTCGAGGTCATCAGTCTGAAATCTTGTTGTCTGCAGCCAGGTACTCTTGGCTGGCAGAGGTAGTGGCATGTTGATGGGGCTAAAACTTTAAGTGTAACTGAATGTGTTTTACAAAGGAGACTGCTCCCCACCCTGCCTCCTTAAATCCCTCTCCCTGTCAGAGATATGCCAGTCATATTAATTCAGTTCACAAGTTGTGCATTAATATACACGGCTCTTTCTCGTCCTGGAGGTCGTCTCTGCTCATTCACTTCTCACCTCTCTTCCTCAGTCATCATCATCATAATCAAGACAGCAAGTGGAATAATTGTGGTGAGGCAATGAACTGCGTCACCAAAAAAAAAAAAAAAGAGCTCAATGGCCTGAGTGCAGGATGTGCACACATCCAAACAAGCTGTGATTATGATAATATGGACATGGATTTTGTTACAATCAGAAGAGGAAGTGCACACGCACACACGCACAGCTTCCACACCCTCTGTCAGAGACCAGCCTTGAGTATTTTTTAAGCAAGTATCACTATCACTTGTTGCAAAGAGCACATGTGTGGAGCTCAGATAATAATATACAATTTTCAGGGTTCTTGGAAATTGCTGAAATTACACCAAACAGTCATTGCAGCAGCCAGCAGCCCATATTGTCAATAGCCTAAAGCCACACGGTGGAGAGAGCTGGTGAAAGGCAGAACTGTAGATAGTATAATTCTGTTTTTGATCTTTACATCATTTCCAGTATTACTGTTATTAAAATGTGAATGTGTTTCACTAACCCAGATGCCTGCAACCACTGATCAACACAACCTAAATAAATCTATGGGCGATGATGACTGGGCCCCTGGGCACCATTGCATGGTAGTAAGACATCAAAACTGAAATAGAGTAGTCATTGTGTGTCTCACTGAGTTCATTCTGTGGATGTTTTTGCGGTAACATTGTGACTCCTCATAGTCGTTTAAATTTGTTTTGAGTATTTTTGTGGTAGTTTTGTATTTTTTGGGAGCTCAGGGAGACCCTCACTACTTGGGCCCCTGGGCATGTGCCCTCATGGCTCATTCAGTAATTCATCCATGGGTCAGGCGATAAATTATGGAACCATGGAACCCACCCTGTATGCAGAATAAATAATAACATTGCTGTGATTTTTCTAGTGATGCTTGTTTGATCTCTCTCTGCTTCTTATAACATTAGCAATGATGCACAGCAGTAGTAAAATAGTCAGACACTACTATAAAAATGCACACCTGCATGCTCATACAAAATGGATCCTGTGAGTATTAGGACCATTAGTTTTAGTAAACAGTATAGGCTGCTTGAATTTTGTAGTTGGTCAAGATGGAACTAATGTTAACTGGTTTATTTACTTATGGTTAATTTAATCTTATCAGATTTCAGGCACTGCTGTTCTATATGTTGCTTGGACTTTCAAAATGTATCCATAACAATGAATTTGTGTTTAGTTTTTTCAGTATCATCTGTACATGTACATACTCCTATATTTTATAATATGTACATTCTTTTTTCTTATACCTCATCCAATAAAGCACCTCGCTAAATAAATAGAGGACAAGACACAGTATCTACTCAATTTGTACCAACCATGTACAAAATATTACTATAACAAGATATAGTTACACTTGGCATGATGTCTTTGCTCTTACACTGATAGTTCAGTTTCTAGTAAATATATTAGTTATTTGCTTTTAAAAAATATGTTACTACAGTTGTTAGTGTGTTGGTGTAAAGAGTACAATGTTTCCTTTAGGTATGTAGTGGAGTAAAACAATGAGAAAGTGCTACTAATAACAGTATTTGTAGTAAATGTGGACACACACACACACACACACACACGCAAACACACAAAACAAAAACACTAATACTGTAACTAGTGAAGGTGGAGTAATTTAACCTCTTTGTACTTTATTAGGCAGTTTATA